AGAGAGAGAGAGAGAGAGAGAGAGCGGTACTTATGTCAACTGGTGCACGAGAAATGGTTATGCCTTTATGAAATATGAAACAATCACCAGCTCATTTTATATTAACAGTCCGAGTCTATAAATAATTTCTGCCAAGGATCTCGGTTGTTTGCAAGTAGCGTGGAATCGAAATGGCGGCCAAACAAAAGAAATATAATATCCTTTCTCTCGTTTATAACTGAAAGCTAGATAGTTAGAAGTATCTTTAGAAAGTTTCTCCTTTGAAATTCTATCCTATGATGAAGTTTCTACCTTAGCTCACAGGTAGATCAAAATGAGATTCTTTTTATTGCATTGCTGATCTGAAGTTTGATTCATAAGAATGACAATGTAACGATATTTTTGTTTTATAACAAAACCGTTCAACTGACGGAGGTCAGATTATTCTTTGGTGTAATTTATTCAAAGTAGGAAATTTTTAACACGTAAATGTAGCAAAGAAAGTAATAAATTTCAAATATCGCAATAATTTTGAATTAACTGGGCTTTTGCTATCTGAGAGTTAAAAGAATTGGATTCCTAATCGGTTCAAATTTTTTATCGTAAAATCGAACCACCAGACTATGGACTCTTATGCATTTGTGGAACATTTAAAATTTACAATACGTCCACGCCATTCAGATATATTCAGAAATATTCAAAGTAAATTAAATTTTTCTACCTAATTGTCATTTCTCTAGTCAGCTCTACAGAAATATAAATTTGCACAAATATCTCTCTCTTTAGTATTTACCGGAAGGATAAAAGGCGCTCTTCATCCAGATAGTCTGCTGCGTGAGCGCAGCCATAAACCTCTTCGTAATCAAGCTCTGGCACTCCGGTGTCATCGGTCTCAAGCGACTAATAAACCGTAGAAGATACTCCAGCAGATATCTATTAGAGCTAGGCAATTTTTCCAGGCATCTCTGAGGCTTAGAGCTCCAAACGACGATGTAACTGAGACTGTCCACGTCCAGTAAAGAATGTTTCAACGTCTCCAGCCACTCGAATAACAATCCTGACAAAATATCCAAGTCAGTTTCCATGGAAAGTCTCTGCCAGGCCGTAGACCTGTGATTCAAGTCCATCTGAAAATCCACGAGGCACGATTCATTTCCTCGACACTGAATTATATATCCAATTCGTGGATATAGAAAATGATTCTTCAACCTGATAGTTCTGTAGGCGTTTTTTCCTTTTGTCAGACAAAGTAACGTTGTCCCTGATTAGAGCTCTAATTGCTTCTTCGGTGCTCACTGTCTCGAGTGCTGCGTTTTGAGCAGCAACTTTCAAGTCCATGTGAGACTGAATCTCCTTGTAACAATCGTTGTCTACAAGATCCTGGCCGTGGATTCCATCACCGAGGACGTCGTCCACGTAATTGTCATCTAACACTGTGAAAAACAATGTTTCTCTACATTTATCTCGTCCTTCTTTCCTTCTTTTAATCTTCTTTACTAATTTCAACGATTTCATTTTAGGCGGAGTACCTGGGAAAGCTGAATCGCAAGATGGAGTGTCCGGAGAGGTGCAAAATACGTCGCTCAACCTTCCAATGTCATCGGACGTTCCTCTCGAAGACGCCTGACTACCACTCGCACACGCTTTCATAGAACCTGAAGTGACAATTAGGATGATCAGAAAATTCGCAAGCTGTCAAGGAGTTGCAGTTTAATTCCCTTCTCGATGCTTACTGGAACAGTCGTAAGAATCGGCGAGCGACTCGGCCCACGAGTAAGAGTGTCTGATATTTCCCTTGTTGTCTCTCAGCTTCTCCAAAACGTGAGATATGAATTTCTGTGTGAAAGATGTACTAGAAACGATATACTTGATCTCGCATGGAGAATTGTCCTCTTGACAGTCGCACAATTGCAGAATTCGCTCGCAAATTGTGAATACGATCTGAAATTTGACAGGCGATCGTTTAGTTGTTCGTTCGATGCGTCGTCTTATGCCAAGATCACGAACGTTTCACTATAGTAAAATAATAATGTCTCATAATCAGACTGTGGATTTTTATGCGTTTGTATTATAAATTTTCATTAATAATGCATTAAACTATTTTACACTCCCAAAATTATGAACTCGCATAAAAGTCCGCAGTCTATTTACAATAGTGATTTTGTACGTCTTTAGAACAGTAAACGACTAACTAAAAACACTGAAACAATTTCTACAGAATGAATATCGCCTATGGTTGCTTATATAATCCGGTCATTTTACATTCAAATGTAAGCTTACGTAATACAGTAAATCGGATATTCGTGATATTGGCATGAGCGACGTCTTTGATTCTCCGCGAGAGATAAAATGAACCTTTGGAATATATTTGAATGTACGTTGCTCGTATCCGTGCAGTACGTTGTGCTGCTTTTTCAGATGCGACTGCAGACTGCAAGGCTTGCGATCGCCTATTGTGCTACTCAAAGGGAAAACTATCATCTGTGGAAGCACGAAGTGCTCGAACTCCTGGATGCAAAGTATTTGCCCCCGTGTCTGTATGGCGGACGGTCGTTTCATACGTACGAATCGTATCGCATCGTTTGCTCGCACACGAAGACTGTAAATAAGGTAGCACGCGATCAGAACGCCGGTTCTGCCCAGCCCTGAAAAATGTACGTGTCCTTTAAACTTATCTAAAGCATGTATGATTAATTGCTTGGTCGATGCTTCGGAAATTTGCATGTTTTATATTTAGAAGCGCCGCACTGGCCCAAATCCATCTTCATTTGAGCCGATTGCTCGTATCAATGGAAACGTAGAAATATGCATATGTGTAAAAGATTTAGAGATTGAAAAAAATTCTGAAATCTACTTTCCCAGTGATAGTGCGATGGATTTTCATTTCAAGGAAATTTATTAGCCTCGAACGTCGTTTACGTCTTGGTACGGTTGCAAATTGCTGGTCACGCGACACGGTGATCATATCCCCGATTTTATAAGAAGCTAAGCTATCTGAAAATTTAGGAAATTCCATTGATTCAAATTTTAATAAAATTCCATAATTTCATTACACGTCGCGAGATAAGTCGATATTGGCACGCGATAAGTCGATATCGCAATTTTATTAAAAGGGGACGAAACTATCTGAAAATTTATAATTTCAAATTACGTCTACTACAAGCTCGTGTCATACTACAAGCCAATATTCCAATCTTCAGCAAAGAAAAAAATTCAATCGAATGATTAAATTTTAACAACGCTACGAGTTGATCCTAATTTTTAATGAAACAAACCGGAACGTTCTATCGAATTGGGAACATTCTAAAATTTACTAATTCAAACTAATTTCTATTTCAATCAACACTGCGAATACTGTTCCCGCGGCGACGGATATCTCGAACGAAAGCGAGTCAGAAATTAATAAAATTTTCACAACACCGCAAGCCCGTTATCATTCAGGAACAGTTGAAATATTTATCCTTAAAGAATAGGTCTGTGGTGCCTATCGATCGTGCCTAATTCGGGAAATAAATTACATGCTCGTGCGCGAACCGTGAATCGGAAACGGAACTCGTAATCGTAGTTGGTCTTGTTTCCGGGGTTAACAAGAGTTACGACGTATCTCCATACCAGTAACCACTTGATAGTATAACTATAATCTGTGTTTCCATTTCGCGGATATCGTTGAATATGGCAAAGCGCGTCTGCATGATTCGTAATTAAGTTGCAGAGAGTATACGCGCGGCACGCGTGGAATTTTGGCTATTCGATTAAATCGCCGCTTGACGACGCGACCGGGGAATTCATCGGGCAAAAGAATTCGACATATTCCTCGCGATAAACCGGTCTCGTGCACGGAACAAACCGTGGAAATAAATCATCCCGGTAACGAAAGCGGTTCTGCAATCATTACGGCTGGTATGTTGTGTTATACATGAAAACTGGGGGGATAGCTTCGTGTACGTAATGATCAGGTCTATATGTAGTTTTACAAGAGGTTGCCCTTAGATCGATTTGTCAGATGCGGGGACTATGGAAAATATGAAGAAAATATTGTAATTTTCATGATCGTTAAATATGCATGGTCCTTGTTATTGAACAAGCAATCGATCGATACGATCGAGCTCAAGTTTCATCGAGATTCCGAAACTTCCTACAAAGGGAATTCAATGAGAACGGAATAGTTATTCGATGATATGACTGTTATGTACGTACAGAAGTATTTGCACAGTTGGAATGTAGAAAAATATTTTCTGTGTTATTGAACCCTTGAATAGCGGATAGTTTTATACTCGCATGCAAGGCGATGGCCTGGTCAGATTTGCTTTAATATATTATATTTCTTCTTCTTACGTTGCACGAAAGCAAATTCTTACGATAGTTCCTTCTATCGTAGAATATTTTAATTTTTTTAAGACATTCTTCTGTCTAATATCTAATAAGCGGAAACGATATTTTTACTGACGTATATTTATTTCACAATTGTTCTCCTTTTAATATCATTTAATCATCAATTTAATGTTCAAATGGAAGCAGATTTTTATCGAATATCTCTCTACTGTAACTGACCTATAAATATAATATTTCGATAATATATAATATTTCATAATTTAATAAATATTCCAGTTTTTGTTTCTTCTACACTCCTATCGTGTGAATACTTTCACCCGTAACTGTAACTTCATATTTTTTTACGAGAAAGTTCCAGGGTTGAATATTTACACGAAGTTACGACACGTGAATACTAGAGCCCCAATTTCTTATCATTGCTTATCTATTATTCGTGCCCATAAATTTTGTTAAAGGATTGAAGCGAGTGAACGTTTAATGGTTTGAAAACACGCTTCCATCCAATTAAAGAATTAGCCATAAAACCACCTGGCAAAGGATGTTAAGTCTTTTATGGCTTTATCCAACGCCACGTCAGGATATTGTTTTACGTGTTAACGCTAGAACCGCCTGCCTCTAATGTGTGTGTGTGTACTTAGTTAACCCTACTGTGTTCTTTCCCTTACTTTCGACGCAATCGTCTGTTTTCCATCGTTAAAAATTCCCCTGAATTTGCGAGAACGTTCTTTTGTTCCAGTTTTATGACAAAGTTCCACCTTCCCCCTTGTTGAAACGAAGTTCAATTTCAGATGCAAAAGTTCGTATTAAATTTACTTGACTTTACAGCAGGCGAGCATATATAAATAGGTATGAATAGTAACAATTTAATTGAAATTGTTTTTGCTGATACATTCTTGAACATTATCCACTTCTATCTGATATTATACTAATATAAAATAAATGCAGTGCGTATTTTACGCGAGTTGTAGGACTGCATACTCCTGTTATGCTCACCACTGCAGATAATTATAATTTAGCCACGGATGTTCGTGCATTAATGGAAAATTTAAACATACAAAAATACGTACAGGTATGCAAAAATAAATATCTGAAATAAAATATTTCTCATGGTATTCAACAAACGAAAGAAATATCTATTTAGCTTCCATTTCTTTAGCTGCGTTCGTAAAAGTATAGATTTGCGCGGGAACGAATAAAACACGCAATCCATGTTCCATTTCCGTGAAAGTCAACATTAATTTTCCTAAAAGCATGAGCATGTTTTTGGTAAATACACAAATAAGCAATCTAGAACCCATCTTTTCAATCTGATATCTCTAGTAGTAAAAATGAAACGAAATTTTCTCTCTCTCTCTCTCTCTCTCTCTCTCTCTTTCTATATATATGTGTGTGTACGCGATATTATAACAAGAGTAATAATAGTTCTCTTTCAAACTAGTTGTTTTCTCGATTTAGCCCGTGAAACATATAATTCTTGCCGGCTCCCTCACAATCAGTCGAAAGTTCAAGGAAGATCGTAACGAATGCAAAAATTCAGATGCACCGTCGGGTGAACGCCGTGTGTTGCAGCACGCAATGCACCAAAGCAGCTATCGTTCTGGCTGAACGCGTTTCACACGTGGCTTAGATCGATACACTGTGTCAAAAGTTAAGAATCATTGGTTGATAAAGGATGGCCGCGTGAAAGTGAATTAAGAACGTTTGAAACATCGTTAACTCCATTCCCCGCGAATTAAAAGTTTTATTTAAGCGATGACGGTACGTGTTTGCTCGTTTTCTCGTCAGGATAACGCTTTCGCGTCGATTTTACCATTGGATTGAAGAAAATGACGACTGCAATTTAGCGATAAGGGATCGAAGAACGATCGAAAGTAAGCGCTATTGGATAGGTATTTTGTGCCAGAAAAAAAAAAAAAAAAAAAAAAAAGAAAAATTGGGTCGGTGCATCTATCGAAAAGAATCGATTTACCGGCATGACAGTGAATTGCCACTCTTCCCTCTTGCACAGCAAAGGCCACGACCTTGACCATATCCAGAAGTTTGCTCATGGTCGCATCCCCGTAGTCCTTCAATGCAAAATTGTAATAGTAAACTGTAACAAATTGTCGAGACTGTCGTGATATTGTAATGCTTTGATATTTAGAGGAGGAAAATTGTAAGTCATAGAAAATATAATTGTTATTACGATTGTCGTAAAGTTTCGTTTCGTCTGCATGGTTATACGATTCTGCTGCATTGCATGTTGCAGTTAAACTTCTTCGATCTGACTCACCCTAAATCGAAGTTGATTTACCTGGCTAGATTTCATTTAAATGCAACTCAGTTTCGTCGTGATTAAATAGCTATTGTTTTGGTGTTTTTATCACAGTCCATTTATAGTTCAACTCTTATAATACTTTCGGGATTGAATATTTTTTGACGTGTGAGTGAAGTTTCCCTTTTATCATTTATTAACAATCGAATTTATGTAGAGAAGATAAATATTTACGAAACAGCAAGTGTGAAAGGATTGATATTAATTATTAATATTGTTTTGTTTATTTTATTAACACTGGTGTATTTTGTATAATTGTCTAACTTCCATAAATTTTCATCGAACTTTAATGTTCAATTCTTTTAAATCAGTATGACTTTTGACTGACTCGTATAATGTAACGTTCCCTTTTTATTTTTCTGTTTGCGGTTGAAGGTATGTTTTAATACTTACTGCCATGTTTCATGAAGACATTCGGGTCGTAAGTAAAACCACTTTCTTCCAAGGGACCACCACAGCTTGCATGCTCGCCAGGTGTTTGCAGGTTTATTATGGTTTTTATGCTCCACCCTTGAAACTGTGCGATTATGTCCTTTTTTATTATTTGTGCGGTGTTCGGCCGTGCCATCGCAAGAACGTCGTCTGTTACCCTTTTAAAAGAATTATTTGACCCTTATTTTTCTTGTTCATTTTCCAATAATTAACTTAATATCAAACAGAGACAAAAAGATTTGGATAAAAAAGATTCTTTTTCCATTCTCACTTCGCAATTTTTTTCTTACAAAGAACCATTCTCAAATTTTTCATTAATCAATGCTCCAATGACTAATCGTTCCAGTATTCTGACAATTGAGGTTTCGTAATCGTAATTTAAGAAAAGATCGATTTAAAAGGAAATCAAATTTATCATCGTTACAATATGATCTCCACCCTAGTTAATTTACGACTATCTTAGATTACGTGACGAGTTTAATTTCGTTCACAGTGGGAAGTCCACACCGTCGCGATAATAATCGATTCAATTTCTTTCCGAGATGAAAATAGAAACGAACTAAACTGCAAATTTCGTTTCTACATATGGATGAAAGCAGAAGCCTGCGTGCATGGAAACTAAAATTTGTTGCTCCTCGTAAACTTTTATCGGGATCTTACCAATGCGAAAAAATGTTCTGTATCGCCATGTGCACTGGCGGCCATGCTTTCGAGTTTTCATATTTGCATCTGGAACCGCCGCAAAAGATCGCGCACTGTATAGCTTGCGGCGTGAATTTTCTCAAATTCTCGGAGAATTTATTGTAACCAGCCTGGACCTCGCACAGATCCACTTGGCCCGCTTGAAAACCTGCTGGTACCAGTGAGCTTACATCCATTCTGCAAATAATTTTCGACCGCTGATTTATAATTTCTCTTTCGTACCTTTACGATTGAAATTAAATATCAAACTTCAAATTATTCTCAGCTATATATTTCCTATATTAATTATAAATTTAATTTATTTCAAGTGTGAGAAATAAGAAAGAATTATTATATTAAATTAAATAATTTGTCTCTCCCCTAAATTTTATTTTCTTTTATTCGTTCAAATGAATGAGAGATCAGCGTACATGTTTAAAAATAATCACGCCCCTTCCATCCATCTCATCGCCGTAAGGAAATTGAATTTTCCCCTAAATTCCCCCCTCTCTGTCCCTGTCAGACACGTTTGACAATTGAAGTAGAATCTTTTTCCAGCGATTTTCTCTACGCAAGAATGCACGACACAGCGTAACAATCAATGCAAAAAAGCACTTCACGTACAGAGGTAAGCGCATAGCGACTGGTAATACCTCGCCACTATCACAGTATTTTATCTATCATTCTATCATGCAGATTGCGCCTGCGTCAGTTCTATTACTATGAAACCGCCTTTGTTTCATTCCATCCTTCTGTATACCCTATTTTACAACACTCCAAGTTTGCTATAATGGAGTTCTACAATTTCCCGGACAGAACTAAACTCCCCAAGGGCTTTCAAATAATTCTCCACGATGACCAAGCTCGGTGACTGACTTCACAAAATTTCGTGGCGATTCTTTAATAAATTGATTTAATCAACACCCAATAATATTTCCCTTTGGAACATTGCGAAGAAATATAGAAATTTTTGAAATAAATTATTTAATGAAATATCATTAGATACTTGATATGAATTCGTAAAATACGGAGACTTCAGACTGTCACTTATACACAATTTTAATGAATTCCTTCTGTGCACAGGGATAAAAAAATGGATTTGGAAAATTGAACGAGAAAAATTTACTCAATACTCTTCTTACGTTCGATTTATTTAGTAATTTTAAAATACAAAAAAAATTTCACTTGTCTAATACATTAAGTTAATTCTTATTCATCATATTCTCCTATTTTGAAATTTTTTCCAGGAATTTTAATCTGTTCCCAAGAAATTCGCAATTATTTAATCTTCTAGAATCCCAAATTTTGTTTGAAATTTCTGCCTAAATTTCGAGACTTAAGAATTTTATTTGATCTTCTGATAACTTCTGTCAAGAAACTTATTTCTAAATCTAAAATCCCAAATTTTGTTTGAGAATTTTAATTATTAAAATTTCATTTAATTTTTATTAATTTTTTTCAGAGATTAAATTACAAATACTCATATAACTTTTTATACTATTTCATAGAATTTATTAAGTATAAATTTACAATATTAAATAATATTAATAATAATAATGCAATATTAATCTAGTATTGATTAATATACAATTGAAATATATTTTATATTCCATTCTAGTTAAAGAGTATAGTAAGTTATAAAAATTTAACTAAAATTATATTAATTCTATGCCATACATTTCGTTTTCATTGCGACTAATAGAAATAGTGATGAAACGGAAGTCCTCCTCATAGCCTTAGTTCCGCATGTAACAGAAGGTTACACATATTCTATTTTTTTGTATTAATTTTTTATTTAAAAGAACTAAAAATCACATAAAAATCCAAAGATAAATTTTATAAGTATCACGTTTAGAAAATGATCCAAATTAAATGATACTAAATACTTCTGTAACTCTTGACTTGAGAACCCGGTATAATGCTACAAAATGGCGTGTGAACCGCTCACAATATGGTCGCGAGAGACGTGGCAGCAGTTGCTTTATCTTTAAAATACTACACGGCTAAAGTACCGACAAACCGTAGGTAACCGCAACGCAATGGATCATCAAATTTAGACAGGTTTAGATAAGATTATTTTAAGTGTACTAAAGTCTTATTAATCTTTGACGGTGCATTGGAGTGCGATTCGGTGAGTGCTAAGATGTCTGGCTTCGACGAAAATCCTTTCGGAGCACCGAATATCAACGATCCTTTTTCAGTGAGTATTTCAATAGCGGCTAGAACCGATTCACTTATTCATCTTGTACAATACTGCATGTAAAACTGTCAAATTACCATAAACGGGCGTAATTGAATTATTATAACATTACAGGTTAAGACTTATCTCAAAATCAATACCTTTAATTATTTGATATTTCTAAATTTCATGATGATATTTTTAACTACATTTTATTTAACTATGTAGTATTATTTAGTTATTAATTTATTGCTTTATAAATAAAAGATTGTTGCTATTATTAAAAAGAATTCCTTAACTTTATATATAGACATCTTCTATAAATACACACTTTTTAGGTGTTAGCACATCTGACTTTCTTTGTGAGGGTTAATTAAGATATAAAAAAAGTAACTGACAATCGATTACTTTTTTTAACCAGGATCCTTCAATAAGAAGGGCTGTATCTTCTACTCCAGCTAACAGAGGTTTAGAAGATTATAATCCTTTCGCGGAACAAGGTTCACAAGGAACTGCACAAGTTAGAGGTGCTTCGAATCCTCCCATGTATGGAGGTATTGGAGCCACACAACAACCAGCTACACTTCAGCCTTCAAATCAAGAACCTCCTGCAACCAACTATGCCCGTACTCCACAGCAAACAGTGAATGCAGCACTTGGAAGTACAACGTCTCCTACTTCAGATGTAAATATACTTGAAATTCATTTTATTATATTTTACAATAGACTG